TTAACTAAACTGCGTTGAAGTCTGCCTTAGAATTAAAAAAGTCTATTTCCTCTTTGAGGGGAGATGGCCCCAAATGAATATCATCAGAATAGAAAGAAAATGCTACAATCACCCTTTTCCACACCGTTTTGTAATTAGCTCATTCTCCAAAAGAAGGCAATGGCCTTGTCTATGGGAACAGAGTGGTCCTAGCACAGTGGCCTGTCATGTATTTTCCAGATTGTGGTTTCAGCCACTTTAACTATGACAAGACAGTTGCTACACTTAAAAATATACACACAATTTGCAAGTAATTCTTACCATGCCACAAAAAAGTTGTTACAGAAAATGGCGAAAATAATAGTACCTCCATGTACACGTATAATTGTTGGGAGGACAGAAATTCCCTTCTGAATGAAAAATACTTCAGCGCTTTCCAAGCCAGTCCACAATGAGGACAACGCTATTTTTTAAAATCCTATTCCCTATTTTTATTGCACATGACATATTACATTGTACTGTACAGCGTGTGGTGACGAGAAATTCCCTGCTTATTTAATTGTGATCCTTCAACGAATTTGAAAGGGAGTGCTTTATTTCCATTTCTTTAATTTACTAGTTCTTTAGCTGATGATTTTATTAACCCTTGTATTTGAGAACTGATGCTTAACAAAAAAGAAGACGAAAAAAAGGCCCTTGGCAGTATTGTGAAGGCCTGGAACTGAATAATGCACTTTAATAATGAGGGATAGAGCTATGGCTTTTGCTGATGGCTGTGACCGGCTCTGTGACCTGATTATGTCGCAGAGTGTCAGCAGCTGAGACACTACAAAAGGGAGCGCATCCCATCAAATCTATCTCCATTGTAATCACTCGCGCTGCTGAGTGGCTTGTTAGGAGCAGGGAATCCATCAGGCCTCATTAGCACCATTTACCATCAAAAAACTCAAAGAGCAAACGTGTACCCTCTCATCAGAATAATGAGAAACAAAGTACTCCTGTTATCTAATTGGATCAACAACGCTTCTCTCTCTAGTTAGTTTCCTGAGCTGCTTGTGGACTACAACTCTCAAAAATTAGTTATTTTTTGTTAATTGTCAGGGTGGAGTTGTGCTCAAGGTTTTTCATACACAGAAGGTTTTCACATCTAAAGAGCAAGGCATGGTCACAATGAAGCTCGAGTTCCTCCAAGCGCATTCTTACATTATACTGATGCCATCCCAATTAAATTAACTGTTCCACTAAAGTATGCACTGAACAATTACACCATCCTTAGTTACGTTTTCCTGCTAACCTACCAGGAAAAGTAATTTATTGCCCTCTTTAACCACAAGACAGTTCATCATGCCAACTCTTATCATGCTATTTTTCTACTCTTGATGGTAAAATGTTATTTTGCAATTGCTGAATTAGGATGTATTTTTCTCATATTAGACAACTCTCATCTTTCCAAAAAAGAAACTAAACTACTCAGCACCCATAGTTAAAATTTATTTAATCCCGTTGAAGTCAAAGGACTTGTACAAATGCAACTGATGACAATTAAGCACTATGTTTTAGCCAAGTAGGAAGCTGGCCTGCAGGTAGCACTTATGGAAACCAGAAGCATCAACCTTGCTTTCATGTTTCTGTGGTTCATCACAAAGATTAAGAAAACAGCCAAAATATACTTCCCATGTACTAAATAGACATAGTAAACCCCACCCAAAACTCCTAATATTTTATTTCATTTGCAATAACAGAGCAAAAAAAGAGTAATGTCTGGTTGTTACATCTCTGAAGAATCCAAGTGCAGCAGTGGCACTAGGATCCTACTATAAGGGCAGGCTGAAGCTGAGCGGGCAGACAGCTTCTCTTTGAAAACACTATTTCTACTCACAGAGTGGAATCTGGCAATTGTCCTACCCTGGTCTTTAAGATATAAAAGCCCAGTCCTTCAGAAGCTTCCTGGAAAGTGCTGAGGGTAAACAGAGTGCAAGCAGTGTTACATGGGACAATAGCTCTTCATAATACGCCTCTGAAAATGAAAATTTGATTTAGAGGCCTCCACCTGTACCGTATCAAATTAAACTGGTGATCTAATAATATTATTCCAATGGATTAGATCTCTTTGCTACAGTGGTCTTGGGGAGCTCTAGTATTACGGTTCATATTGCCATGTAAAGAAAAAAAATTATCATACCTTAATTGCACATTCAATAATTAAATTAATAAAATTATTAATAAATTAATAACAATATTCTATATAAATTATTGTTAATATATATAGATTTATTTATTTTTTTACTTTGACTGTAAGAACTCCCAGACTATTGGGAATTAAGGCCATGCCATATGTCATTTAAAAGATCATTTCCCTAAATTTGCCATAGGATCTTGGATTTGACCTACAGCTTAACGTCTCCTGGGATTACAGATCACCATCTATTTAGCTAGACAGATGGACATTTACAAGCCCTGAATTTCTATAACAGAAGCAGCGTATAATTACAGAGATTGCACATACTAACAGTCGGGTAAATCATCCAGCCTTAAATCTGCAGGAGTGAATTTTGGGTGTCACACTTGTGATTCTTTGAAAGGGGCGATTTTCAAAGGGCAGATTCTTAATATAGGATGGAAATCTGTCTCCTTAACGAGGCCGAGCAGATCATTCAGAAATGGAGTATCCCAAATTACTATTCATTTACGCTCCCAGTTTTGAATAAACATACCTTTCAGTTCTTCTTTATTTGCTATAATTTTATTAATGTGCAGGGAATGTAATTTAATTTCTGGAATGTAGTTTAATTCCACTGAATAGTCCTGTTTTGAAGACAGATAGCTTCAGAAGTGTGCTCTAAGCACTACGGGTTTATGCTGAATATTATAAAAATGGGTGTTACATTACACACTATCAATATTTATCTATATTGTGGCGAGGTCTGCAGTACTGATTATAAGCCAAGGAACATTTGTAAAAACAAGTAATAAAAAGATAGCCCTTATTTAAAAGAGCTGGGCAAACAGATAGATTCTGTCATTTTATCCAACAATAGAGGATTCTTTCTCTTTCTCTGCAACCTGTGGAATTATTGGACTTTACATTATGTATGGAATACACAAGACTCAGCCTGAGGGAATCTATAGTTTCATTCAGTGCTATCTTCACAGCAGTATCTTTTTTTTTAAGTGTACAATGAATGGCCACACTTATGTTTTCTGTGAAGAGCATGTAAAGGGAAAAGTGTCCAAAAACCAGGCTGGGTTTATATCTCCAGCTCTTACAATGAACATCTTTGGTGCCAACTGCCTCACGTGAGTGGCGATTGTGAACCATTTCTGGAGCACAGATAGAAACAACCAGGCTTCTAGGTTGGAGCTGATCTGACTATGAGTTATAGGTATTATAACCAACTTTTCTTCCAAACCAATACCCCATCCCTCCAGAAATCTTAATAGGCTTTTGAGAGCCTCCATTTAAAGCTGGCTGCATAAAATGATCCTTTGATGAAAAGGGATTGAAACAAGGGTTAAAGTAGACATTGAAAGGTTATTGTAGAGGGCACATTGTTCATACAATCCTCCTTTAATATGTGTGGTGTGCACCTGCGATAAGATGATTCATTAGATAAGGCCTCACTTTGACAAGCTCCATCGTTCAACCCTCGGGGTAGTGATGGAACAATTCTGCACCCACCCAGTAAATATAACAAGGTCAGCATTTTTTTTTTCCTGGGACTTGGATGGTGATAGTGAAGCTCAGGATGCATCTTTGTTTATATGTTATGTTAAAAAATAAAAAATGGGGCTCCTATAAAGTGTTGTCTTTCATTTTTTTAATGGGCCAAAAATTAAGTCACCCTTGTTCCAATTAAATAACACGGCGATAGAAAATTACCAGGAAAAAACCTGCTCTTTATGTTTGGTTTTGTTTTTTCCCCAAAGTAAACATTAAGAGTAGAAACAAAACTTTAGATTCACATACTATCCAAGCTGCATCATTTCAATAAATATTTACCAGGGCCTAACATCCACATAAGCACTCTGGATATCACTGTACACTCAATTTGTAGCATTTAGAATAATGACATTCAAATTACTCAGTTACCAGGTCCAGTCATAAGTTATACTGACAGATTTGTTGCAGTGACTTAATGTGAAACAAGTAGTTGTGTTAATTTTAGTCCCAGTAACTGAAATAAAGAATGACAGGGTACACAATCTGAAAGCTACTTAAGAATTACTGCATCAATTGAATTATTTATATATATATGGATTCAGATGCATATGTTTCTGCATCAAGTTAAGCCTGAAACTGAAATAGTTTGCAACAAATAAACAGCTCCCAAGCGCAGATAATGCACAATCTTGAACATTTTTCAGATGTTTCAGATGCACAGATAATGCACAATCTTGAACATTTTCCAAGTTTCTGTGTGGAAAATTTTCTTTAAAGCAAAAGTTTCTCCCAAATTTGCATTACAGACTGGCAGATTCATTGCAAATTGCTTAACTTAGTTAATCAGTTAATGAGTAAGCCACCCAGTTAAATCCATCCCAGATACTTAATTACAGTTTGTGTTCCTTTACTTAAAACATTGAATATCTTTTTAGAAATGAAGTAATACAGAAATGCTACAATTTGTGAAAAAGCATAGTTTCAATAGTGCAGTAGCACTTCAATATAGTTGTCCGTTATTAGGCATATGTAAGTGGAAGAAGACAGCTGGTATGTTTGTTAGGATTCACAGGGTTGCTGGACTTGTAAAATACCATATTATTGCACTACTGTAATCTTCTCAAAAGGTTGAATTAAAATAAAACAAACCTTAAGCCTTTTCCAGCTTGAAAACACTTTACAACAGCTCCTAACTTCCTCCCAGTTCTCAGACTTTCCATTTCTTACCTTGTCTGGCAAATCAATATTTATTTATCTTCAATATGTGCACTTTTAAATTGCTGTCATACAAGCGGAACTCGTTTTTGTCCCAGGATCAGCCTGCCATCAGAATTCACTGTTTGCTCCATCTTCTACTCACCTGTCCTTGTGCATTAGTGACGAGTTGACCTGTGACCCCTTGAAGACTGGAGAGGGCATTGCCAAAGGCCTGGGAGCTCGCTATGGAGCCCATGGCTGCTGCTGCTGCAGCCTGACTTGCTAGCGGATTATTAACCAGCTGAAAAAAGAAAGAAAAGACCATGGTAAAGCCCTGACAAACACAGAAACCCAGCGTGCTAACTGAATAACCTACAAGTGATTGTGCTAACGTGGGTAAAACACTGGCTGCTCCAAGAGCTTGAGCAGTTTTGAGAAGTTCTTATTTCTGAGGCTTTGGTGTCTTTGACAAAGAATGGTTTTTAAAAAGCCAAAGAAAATTCCATGTTAATATTGAAGCATAAAACTCTCCTTTTCTACCCTCTCTTTCTTTTTTTAGTTATGCTTGATGTGTTTCTTTAGGTTCAATGGGTTAATGCCACAGATGTAGTAGCCCAATCCTGCTGTAAACAGCAATCAGTGAAAGGTCAGCATTTGATTTCAGTGGGAGTGGGATATTTAGCTCGGGATATTCCAAACAGAGACTACTTTACTAATGACCCCAGAAATGAGAAAAACCTGCAGGTACTTTTAATTTGTATCATTAAAGAACTGGTCTCAACACCTAGATAAATGACACCAGAGGACTCAAACCTGATTAAGCTCAGTAGAAATCAACTAAAAATTCAAAATTGATTCGCAAGATATGATACCTAGGCAATTTAATGCTTCTCAACTGCAAATGATTAATTGCTGGATTTATAAATTTCTTCAGGAAGTGAGTTGTACTGCCCACTTCAGTTGGTTCTACCTGGGTGCTCTGTATAAAGCAGAGAGCACAGTCACGGCTTTCACCTTAGGAGACTGTGGGAATTCCACAGAGGAACATTCCCATCAACACTTGGGTTTATCAAACATGCAAAATGTGTGTTTCTCTGTCAGAATCAAATGTCCTCTGGGAGGTGGCTCGTTAATTACTGGATTATTGTGAAGTTTATATTTTCTGAAAATGGACAAATTCTGAACCAAGCATACAGGAATGCAGGAATGACATTTAAAAAACCCGCATCATTGGACAGCTGTCCTGAGAATAATCAAACTGAGTCCAACAGGCTGAAAATGTATTTTAGAGTGGGCTTGCCCCCCAAGAATCACTGCATTTTAGTAGAGCTTGCAAAATAACCATTAGCAGGGTAAAGCAGATGGAAGTCGGGGGGGGGGGAAGTCTGGGGATAGCAAACACATTTTTTCTCAGGCTGAGGTGAAAATGCCGAAGCTAACTCAGAAAAGCTTAGTTCTTGAGCTGAAATTAGTAGGAGTTCGAAGTCCTTAGATGACAAGTAAATTATCAATCCTATGAGATGAAGAGTCACAGACACCAGTAAGGGTTGTACTCCACAGACAGGCTCTGCTTCAAAATAGGTTATAAAAAATTAATCAGCGATTAGTAGATGTTTTAAGCATGTTACAGATATGAGTAGTGTGTATGCTATAGATGTTTAGAAGCTCATCAGTAGAAGATGTCAGATATGGTTATAATCTATGCTTATAAGAAACCTACTTGTCTGTTGGACGGTGAGAAATCTACACCAATTGATTGGTCATACATTAAAACATCTATTAATCATTCATTAGCCCTTCATGAAGTATTTATAAATGGAACCTTGATATAAAGTGTTGCCTAAAGGGGCGCCTTGGGCACATCCAATCCCTCTAGAAATTGTAAAGTAAATAACTAAATAAAGATTAGTAGCAATGCTGGATGGAAAAGATTACATTGTTGGAGGAAATATTTTTATTTGGAAAAAAATTGTTATATGAATCTCCAAAATCAGTCCACAGCACCCCATGGCAAGAAAATCAAGAAAGAATTAAAGCAGAAAGGGGGAAACTGCGATGACTGCTTGGTTAGCAGTCCTGATGAGCTGTGAAGAGAGCAGAGATGGGCACAGTGACCAAGGTGAAGCTCGGTCCCTGAATGCAGAGTGCAAGCAATTCCACTGACCGCACAAGGTGTGAGCCCAAGTGTAGTTGCACGCGCTCCTCAGTAACTTGGGATGTGGTGCCTGAGCATGGCAATATAGTGCCGGATAATGGTACAGATAAACTTGAGAGTGTTCTGCTCAGAACAGTGACATTACTCTATTATCCACATCAGAAGCTGGGAAAGCCTGCCTTTCTCCACAGCACTTCACGGGCAGCACTGGGACTTGGAGTAACTCCCTTGTACCTGTAACTACTTGGATAAGAAAGGGGCAGCAGCACAACTGGAAGACTTTCAGGAAAAAAAAAAAGACTTTCAGCCACAAATTACTGCAGCTATGATCCTACAGCATCTGACTGCAGGTACAAATGATCATCCTTGCATGGTTACCTGACAGCAGCTAAGAAACGACACTGCCTGCTATAGTTTATGGCTTCAGTCACGTACAGGAACAGTTACCTGGAGAGCATAACTAAGCTTGTGAGTCTGGAAACTACAAAGGGTTAAAACCTTCTAAAAATCAGACTATCACCTCCTAGAATCTCCCTTCCATTTTTCTTGCTCCAGTTTTCAAAACCTGTACATTTTCAAATACAACAATAAAATTTAATTACAACAAACCCTGGAGACACTCAGGATTGCTTTTAGTTGCATCACAGAGATAAGCTACTTATTAAAAATGAAGGCAGAGGCTATGATATGCATAGGTACCCCGGGTAGTACCATGTTCCAGGAAAAATCACAGTGAATGGGCCAACTCGCAGCATAAGAGACTTTCAAATGCATGTAAAAACTTCCCTATCTATTCATAACTCTGATTAAAAATAAGATGTATTTTTCTTTGAATGCTTTGGGAAGCTGTTGACCGCAAGTTCCACTCTGCTAAACTGACCCCTTTTATATTGTATGCAAATTGGGGATGGATACATACACCTCATTTTATTATGTCTGGATATTGAAGTAACTTCTAACAATATCTTGCTTTTATTTTAAAAATAAAATCTCTGACTTGAGAGATTTATGCCACTTCTCAGTGCAGGTTGGATCCCTGAGAACACTTACTGGAAACATTAGAAATTTATTATGAAAGATCCCACAAAGGGCTCTTCCCCCATTTTGTTTCTGTATTTAAATAATGATTTAATTTGGAAGGCTGAGACCTTTGGAGCTGTCAATTCCAGTGCCCAAATTTCTGCTCCCACTCAAAACACCAGCCATAACAGCAGGTAATAGCGATCTTAGTTTAAAGTGACAGGCCAGCCCTCTCAAGGATGCCTCTGCTAATGACATGATTATACAGGGAAGCAAACTTTATGAGGAAGAATCTGGTAATAACTGAGTAGCTTCAGTACATTTTTTTGACTTCCCAAAGCTGAACTTTTAAAGGAGAAGCATATGAAAGTTGTTCTGCTCTAACCCAGTGTAAAGCAGGAGCCATTCCACTGCAGCAAACAGAACTTACACAAATAAAACTAACCTGTAAAATGATGGGGGATGAAAGAGGCGCTACTTACAAGATCCTAAAAGTGGGACAGGTGAAGTGAGAGTTTCTAGAGTTAAAAATAACCAAACCAAACAAAAAACCCCAAAACAACACATCAAGAAAAGTGTGATTTTTCAAGAGTCAATGCTGCAAGCAGGTTTCTTGAGACACACAAATACTTTTTTCTTCTGGAAGAATACCCTCTTCCTCTCTTTTTTCTTCTTTTTTTTCCCAAAGCTAACTTACTATCTTTGCTGTGAGAAGCTGATCAGGCATTCATGTATTGTTGAATACAAGATCAGATTTGATAACCTACACAGTAATTTTACTTTTCTCTATAAATGATATATCCTACTGAATTCTCATTCCCCTGGTCTGGAAACCAAAGAGCCACATTCACTCATTTACAATACCACTTATTCAACAAATATAAAGAAAAAAACCAAATGGTTTGACTGCTGAAACGCAAAACCAAGACATTTCAGGATGCCAGAGCATCATATGAAAAAATGGGTTTGTAACCTGAAAGGTAAGGTCACTTTATGTAGTGCCAGTATAAGAATAAAGTCAGATCTTGTATGTTTTCTAAAGGACTTGTGGGAGAGGCTAAGAGTGAAGATCCACTCTCTGAATGCAGCAATGGAGAATGCAGGGACACATTGTGGAGTAACTGCAGGTGTAACTTCATTTTATAAAATAGTATCAGTGTTTTTCAGGAAGGCTGTTAAAAAAAAAAAAATCACATTTCTGGATATCTCCTAGAGATTAAATTAGTATAGAAAAGCAATGTATTTGATTAGACTGACAGATCCTCAGTCTCTTTTCTCAGACAATCCTTTCTGTAGGGAGCATCACACTACTAGATCAGCTAGTGAGAGTGTTTGCTAAACCAATGCTTTTTAAGGGAAAATAGAAAAATCCTTTGATTTAAATAACTAGAAGTCGAGAAGAATCCAGCAATGGCTCTCAACCAGAACACATGACATTTTTCTTTTCTATCCAGACTAAGTGAAAAGTGATCACAGACATGAAAGTTTTATTAGCAAGGCAATTGCTTGTGTAGGAATTTTTAGCTGAGAATCTATGGGAATTTTATCTGTATTTAGATTATGATTGAACTACACATTAAAATCTAGTGGGTTTTATTCCCATTTTTTTCCACCATGTTTCATGAGAAAGATTCTGGGTAGTAGACACTTGGCCTTAAGGGAAAAAGACTGTTCCAAACTGAGCACGGGCTCTGAGGATATTCAGGTACCTTCTTCGTTACTGTGAGTAGCATTATCTTTTGTAATGGGTATACATGGCAAGGTTGTGGTAGCAGAGGAGCTGCAGAGAAGGAGGGAGAAAAAAAGAGAGTGAAAACAACAGAGGGAACATCAGGGTCAGAGAAAAGAGGAGGAGGTGTGGAGAGGAAGGAGCAGCAGAGAGGACCTGTTCTGGACTGACCATAACCCCATGCTCCCTGCACCAGTGAGGGTGGGTACAGGAGTCAGGAGTGAAGGAGTAAAGCTGTGTCTGGGAGAGGGGTGGAGGAAAAATGTGGTTCAGACTTATGAACAATTTGTTTCTCACTACCCGAATCTATTTTAATTGGTAATACATTAATTATCCCCAAGTTGAGTCTGTTTTGCCCGTGACAGTGAATGGTAAACAGTCTCTCTATCTTGACCCA